GAGCAGAGGGGCCCGGCGCGGGGCACGCAGGGCGTGTGGGGGTGGCAGGAAAGGGGGCACCTGGACAATCCAGCCTGGGCCGTCAGCACCAGCTCGTACTCCGGGCCCTGCTGCACGTCCGCCAGCAGCACGGTCCCCGGGGGCCCCTCAGCGCCCGGCCCCGCCGGCAGGAACTCGCAGAAAGCCCAGTCTGGGCACAGCAGGTAGCGGGAATCGGGCTGCTCCGGCCACAGGTTCACCCCGAGCAGAGCTGGTGGGGGACACTGGGTCAGTCAGCAGGGAGAGCCCCCGGCCCCCCGGCCCCCGCAGACAGACCCATAGCAGCCCCCTTGTGCAGCATAGAGTTGCTGCTGCCTCGGGGGCGGGGGGCTGGAAACACCCTCACAGCCAGCGCTGGCCCCCACATTGCTACGCAGGGCTCGGGCTCACTGCACCCCCCCACTGGGCTCTGCTTACGGGGCTGCTGCCTGCACACGGCGCTGACCTGCCCCTGCCTGGCCCGGCCGATGCCCCTTTACCTCCTGCGGCGCCGTAGAAGGGGCAGTAGAAGGGGAGGCCCTGGCACTCCGACTCCCGCAGGGCCTCCCCGTAGAGCTGCTCGCCACTGGGCTCTGCCGCCACCACCACCTGGAGCCGCGGCCACAGGCGCCGGGCGACGACGTCCCAGCCCCTGGCGCACTCTGCCCTCAGCTCCGCCGCCCGCGCTGCATCGGGAGCCAGCAGCTGCTCCAGCCGGCGCCGGGTCCCCTCAGGCAGCTCCAGCCGGGCACTCAGCCTCCCCAAGGCCAGGTCCTGCGCCAGGCCCTCCCAGCCGGCGCGCAGCACGCCCAGGGCATCGTACAGCTCCGAGACCAGCCCGGCCTCCAGCGCCCGCAGCTCCCGCTCCCGCAGGGCAAACAACAGCTGCACATACAGGGCCGCGGCGCGCGAGGGCACCGTGCCCGCCTCCTCCGGAGTGCAGTACAGGGTGGGCAGCGGCCAGGCTGCGGCCGGCAGGGAGCAGCCCCGGGCCCAGGAGAAGTGGGCAGTGCCGCGCGGGCTCAGGGCCTCCGGGAAGACTCTGCTCAGGACGTCCAGGTACAACACGGGCCCCTGGGTGGGGACAGAGCGAGATGGAGACAGACACCGTCACTGTATTCCCCCGCCCCCGGGTACCAGCCTGTAACACCTCCCTCCCTCCGCACTCCCGGGGGAACAGCCCAGCTAGACACCTCCCTCCCCTGTAGCTTTCTCCCACTCAGGCCTGGTCTACACTAGGGGTATGTCTACACTACAGGATTAATCCGAATTTAGATAATTCGAATTTGGGAAACAGGTTGTATAAATTCGATTGTGCGCGGCCACACTAAGCACCTTAATTCGGTTTTAAACCACATTAATTCGGTGGTGTGCGGCCACACTACCCCATTAACTTAAACACAGTAATTCGGTGGTGTGCG